TCTGTTGAAGCTTTTAGCTAATATGTGCAGATGACAATGGAAATAATCATTCTTATTTTGAAAATTTCAACAGCATCCGACGTTTGTCACAACACTCCTATCAAAGAATGGCAATCCCGGAGGTGCACGTTCTCCTCTAGCCCTATTCGAAACCAGCAACGAGAGTGCTGCCCCACTTTCCAATGTGGGTGAATCTAAATCATTTGAAGAGAGAGTAATGAAATGATAAAAATATTGGAATAAAAATCGAGTTGAACTTAAAAAACGCAGGGAATTAAAAAAAAAACTCACCAGTTATGTTATACCTACATATCATGCGAATCTAGAATGATCCTATAAACTACACTGTATTATACGATTCTTCTGGAGATACTGTTTTCACATATAGCGTAAATATAGTTGGAAACGCTCATTCTTTTCACGAACTCTACTGACTCCCCTGCCCACGTTGTCACAGACGCTCCTTACAGCGGTTACAGGCTTCTAGACAGGACATCATTCGAGACTTACCTGAAAGTGATTTGTTTTACTCTGTTTGACTCTTCGTATTCTAGCCCGTGAGCAGTTTCTGCCGGTGCTGCTATGTCGTCTTTCGTTTTACCGCTGTCGTCGTCATCGTCCTCGGTCTTGCCGTGATCGCCCCGCCCATTTTGTATTTGTTCCTCACCTTCCGCCAGGACCCTCTCTCCCTCTATCTTTAGCCTTCGAGATTCGAAAGTCGTTGCCTTCTTAAGTTTTTTCTTACACTGACGATCTACCATCGTATGGTCGCTGCATCACCTACCAGTATAAGTGGCTCTTTCAGTGCTGCGTTTACGTCCGCTGTCACGGGTATCAGGTGAACTTTTTGAGCAGTAGTTCTACTTGGCTGCTCTTCGTTTTTTTCTCGCGAGTTCTGTAACTCCAAACGATACTTCTCAGCCGTTCTGTATTTTATTTTCCTCTTGATTACACTTTTTCTTACTACTTCTACGAGACAAACACAAGGTTTGCTGATGTGGTTATCCCGATCAATACCAAGGAAGTTGAAGCTCCGGCGTAACTGCTGCCCGAGTGTGCACACTTAACCTGCAGCGCGACAGGTAATCAATATTCAGAGATGCATAGAATTAATTTTAAGATGTCACACATTCCGATCACCTCATCTAAAAGAATCACATTTTATAGTGTACGTCGCGTAGAATTTCAGACGGTGCCATTTTTGTCAAAAAAAAAAAAAAGAAAACAGATACAATGAGATCTGAGGTGACAGGTTACAGTTGTGCCATTGGCTCTGTTCAGTCATTGAAGATAGGCGAGTAAAAATCAATTGCCATCTCACAGTGTGACTTTTAGAACAGACAGCTTGTTATACAGTTTCATATGTACTTAGTCCAGCGAGACGTTTCAGAGGCGTTCTATGAACAATTTAATTTACAATCACATACAGTTAATGCTAGGGATTAGCTCAATGAGAAACTATCCACGGCATAATTTCACTGGCTAGGACTTTCATGACGATATTAGGCACATGATAAGGCTCAAAATCATCCAATTTCAGCTGCTTGAAGACAACTACACTTAGATAAATATTAATCAACTAGCAATATTTATATATTTTCTAAAAAGATGATCTTTAAGTTCTTTCGTATCGTGGCAACTCTACAATCAAATGCAACTAACTATGACGCTTAATATCTGTCGTCTGAACACAGCGGTCTGAACGTTTCGTACTTTACTTGTGACCCCACGAGCCCTTACTTGTATGGTTTTATAGGCTACCACCGTTGAATGAACTTAAGTTAAAGGTCTCCATTTATTTTATAATGTTAATATATATATTACCCTAATTTCACTATTATATATATACATATAACGGTATAACAAGATAAACAACGATCCTTCAACTCTGATAATTTATACAAAGTCATGAATTTATGTGAAATAAACACAAGTGTCATATATTCAATGAGGTTCAATAAGGCTTTCAAAGTATGTAGGCGAGCGGCCAACAATTGGCTTAAACTATCATTAAACTCATTTTCTTTGAAGGCGCTTAGATGTAAAGCGGCCAACAGCAGATGGGATCATTCCGCGCGAAGGATAGACATGCCTACAATTGAATAACTTTAGGCCAAGTTTTATTATATAGAACTTGAACCCTCATCGGTCTATATTCTAAATAATGCTGACTAGTGAAACTTTGTGCTCAGCTAAGTGAAATTATTACTGGTATTCTCTGAAGTCTTAATGCCTAATATAAATTGGATCAGTTTTACGTCCGTATTGTTTCAAACAACTTATCGTATAATCTGTCATCTTTAACTTGTCATTAGGGTAGCCTTCCACATACTCAAAAGCGTAAGAACGTTAATAGGCTTTATTTCTTCTCAACTGGTAAATCTTGTATGCACTTAATTGGATGTCGTTTTGTAAAACCTACGTCTGACAATGATTTCGCAATCGGGTAGGTATCAATCCATACCGTATCTTGCAGCTCAGCCCACGAATCGGTACTTTTCCTAGAGGAATCTTTCCTTATGGAATAATTGACTTCTATCTATAGATCTTATGTAAGGAAGATTAATATGGGGTCTTATGAGCCATCGACCTGTCGGGCTGTTATCATAACTAAGTTAATCCGTGTATTAGCGTAAGTCACATATATGCACACGCTATTCCTACCGGACACGATTTCTCATGCATACCAAAGCTGTACATCTGCTTCTATTGCTACACCTATGGAATGGTTTTATTGTTAGATAACTTACCAGCCAATTTTGGTTAAGGCGCTATTGAGATAAGCTTCAATGTCACTTCGCGTGTACGCAAAGATGTGATTTTTCTTATATGTTCACTATGGCTTATAAGAAAACGAAATATATGGATGGTGAAGGATGTAGTTCCAATGTGGTTTATCTCATCGGATTTATTTAACGTTTACAGTTTTAGTTACATTTGTATCATTATTATATATGAGTTATGTGCTTAATAATTACACCGTATTTTTTGAGCTAACGGTGCGATTTGACCCCCATCCAACCGACCATCATATTCTCCCGGGAAACTCGGTCTTTTAGCGATCTCTCTAGCGATAGGCAAAAACCTTCTGGTAAGGTGGAAAACATGGTACTTCGTTAAAGTATGAACTTCAGTCTTCATAAGAAGCTCTTGCGACCACTGAGTAGTCAGCGATAACGACAACTCTAATCATGAAGGCTATAGATGTAGTCGACTGTTCTAAGTATATCGAGTATGACTCCTAGAAAATATTAGAATATATATATATATATATATATATATATATATATATATTCGAATTCTTTTATTCACAAAACAAAGAGCAATTTACTCATTAAAAAAAAATAGATTACCTAATTTGTTGTTCTTACACAACAGTTTGCTTCATAGAAGAAATTCGTTCCTCAAGCACGTGTGCAAACCTTCGCCATAAGTGTGCCATAAGATAAACTTGGAGAAGCATGCTGGCAGATCCGTTACGTGAAGGACCATGTTCACAGCCTAACGAATACGCTGTAAAGCTTATGCGACCTTTTTAGCGTCCTGCTTTCTCGTCCTCTGAACTTGCAGTATGTGAATATTGGTTTCTTTTAACAAGTCCTGGTCATTTTGGCTGACCTGATAGATAGACAATACTACATGTGGGGAGTGGGAGGGGTGCAGTAGACAGCGGACAGTTCAACGCTAGAAAAGTTCTGTTCTTCAAATCGGAATACTACCATTGAAAAACGTTTTTGCCTATAAGCTGCTGCTGTTGTAGACACTTATTCGAGAAGAATAGCTGTGTATAATTACGTAAAGTTATGAATTTGTTGTTTATGCTCGCTCTGTATACTAAACAATATTTTTCTTTTTAATGGATTGGTTGTGTTATCATTTCCCAATCGCATTTGGTGAGAAGGTATTTTTATTTGTTACAGTGAGGTAAATATCTTTAAGGCTAGTTACGTTCAGATCTACGGCGCTTTTTCTTCAATGTGTCTTAACAACGGTGACGTTTAAAGCTTTGCTATGACATTTGTATCACTGACAAGTAGGCCAAAAGTTAGTTACGGATAACCCCCCATTCATTTTGCCATTTTAGTGTACCTACTAGTAAAGTAACGTATTTTCAGCTAAAAAGAAAAAGAAACATATCCAAGTCTTGTGTTGCAAAGGGAAGCTGGCAACACGGAATCTTTACTTGGCATACGTATGCCCTTTCAAGAAAGATACGTGTCGTCATTTCAACGTAGTCGGCATACGTTTGACTTGCAATGCCGGCGTCTCGGCTAAGAGTTTGTGGCCTGCCTACGCGGCGCAGCTCTATATCCCTGGAGTGAGATTTCCCATGATTCGATAAGCGGGAGTGTACGTCTGTCCCTTACTTACGAAGCCCTTTTATCTGGAATCTGACTACCCCCTTGTTGTTCACTAAGTGCTTTCGGTATGATTTTTATAGTTGGTGTTACGAGCTTATCGCTGTAAGTGCCACTCCTCTGGGTTGCAATGACTCGCCTCTGCAGCTGCAGAAAGCAACAACGAAAGTTTTTTGGCCTTTTTTCTCCTATTCACTTGTTTGTTGATGTCTTTTTTTCAACGTAGGCTAAACATCCTCCAGTAAACATTGTGCCCTGCGACCCTTAAATAGACTAGAGAACTGAAGGGCGTCCTTAGCTGATGAAGACAAGATGCAATCAGCTTATTGCATGCTCTCTAGGAGCCACGTAAAGAGTGGGTAGGCAGCTCGGCTATTGGCTGCTCGTATACAACTGAAATCCGCTAGAGTAATAACGGGTAAAGTCGGCAGATGCGATATCCAGCCAGCGAGATAAGCGAGACATTCATATGAAAGTTTCAGTCGACTTCAGTCGAACGGAATCCCGCCTGTAATTGGTTTCACGTTTTCATTGAATCCCTGTCCCATTCGGGATGAACGTCGTAGCGTTTGAAACAGAACAACGATAAGACCAAGCACTCTCAAGTGAATTGGAATAATTACTTTATTTTCTATGTTGCATTCAGCCCAAGCGATAATAGAGATTATCATACACAAAACCAAATACTACGACTACCGAACCGATATACCAAAACACGTATAAGTGAAACAAACAAACAAACAAACGGTGAAATTAGTTATGAGGTGATAATGAGAAGCTTGAATGTATCCTATTTGATTGATTGTGACATAAACGGAAGCTCAAAATTTGACAAAAGTACCTAGAAAATTAAATGCAATCATTACATTAGGTGGTCAGTGGATTATCTGGTTGGTGCATATGTAAATGCGGTTTTTCAAACACCCATTTTCCCCTTTGTGTTTTCACTTTTTGCTTACTTATATAAGCGAGTCAAAAGTACCCTTTCTCCTCCATAAGGCCTTTATGTAGCGAATGAAGTTTTACCTCGAGTTTTGGCCCCAAAGGTATATGTGTAAAAAATGTATTTTTGATACTTGCTCCATTTTGCCTTTTTTTGGATTTCTTCTGAAGTAACCCAGTGTATATGGGCTATATACAGTGTAAACTTGATCTCCAAAAGGGCAGCCCAAAGCTGGTTTGTGAAGTTTAATACTGGCCTTTTAGAAGTGAAGGATACACGACGCCCAAGTTGGCAATTTTAAGTCGAGAACCGCCAAACAGCTCTTCTAAAGGAAGACGGCCGACACAGGTTCGTGAATTGGCCAAGAGTACGAACTGCAGTCATATGAACACCGTCAGGAATCTTGAATATATACAGTTTACTAAAAAAAAAGTCTTAAACCTGAGTGCGCCGTAATACGCAAGAAGAATGAAAAGAGAGGCTTTATCTATGTCAACGTGACGCAGAAAAGGAACAAGTTATTCTAGAAGATACGTTTAAGTTCAATCTATGACAATCATAATTTGCGCTTAAAAAGACTAGAAGAGTTCTATGCACAAAGAGATGCTGTGACAATACGAAACAGATGTTTCTGCACGGCGTACCTGAACCAAAGTATGCCGCGATAAGAAAAGCAAAGAGACTCTTGTCCACGATAACGCTAGGTCACGCGCGGCAGAAGTCGTTCGATCGAGCTTGTATGGCAGAGTTATCCTGTACCCACTATCACCTCTTCCGATAACTGGTAAATAATTTGTATATTTGACAATGACCGAAGCCTTAGAAATGGGTTTAAATTGTCTAGTGAGACCGAATAAATAAATTGATCGAGAGATGAGTAGCTCGTAGACAACTATGACGAATAAATTTTTCTTGCTACTTAAGTTCGACCTTTTTGTTAGGTAAAAAAATGCCATTTTTACCTATTGGCCTAATAGTACAGAATCATACATTTTTCATTTCTATTTATTTTGCAAGCTAATATCCTTAATCGTCAAAACTTATTCACTCTTCCCTTGTTCGATGCTTATTTTAAAGGTTGCTATACAAGTCAGTAAGAGAGATAGTCGACAGCAACAACGGGATCATAGGATCAATCGTAGCATATATTTATATATCCTATTTCGATGCACGCCCCCTTATATCCTCCAGTTGCAAAAACGTTTACCTTAATAGAAAACAATATTAGGTACGATCTCGTTAGTCCAAATACGGCAAAACTGCATACACTTGTCGAAAGACCCTTGGTTGTATTGATGTCAGATTCGTTCTCAGTTTAGTAATGGTCCTTTGACCTTTGATTGAGGCTGCTTTTTTGCCTCTATTTATCTCAGGAATACCTATTACACTCGTAAGACGCAGATTTAATATCTGCTGTCGACACCCAATCCTGAAAAGTATAGTCAGTATTAAAGGTCATATAAAATACTGATATCTTCTGTCATTTAATAACTAGTCCAAATCGTATTATTTAGTGGTTCTATTGTACAAGTTGAATTGTTGTAGAAATATTCGATTTATGTTCACAATCATAAAACAATGCGACAGCGCCGTGCCTCTATACGGTTTTGTTTTTATTGTGGTATATATACATAAATATGTTGAATGAACGAACAATTATAAAATTGCTTTCAATAATCTTATATTGTATCTACTATGTTAAATATTAATCACAATTAAGGTTATATTAATATGATCTGCCTATATATTTATATATATATAATCTTTACACTGCCTTAAATGTAACGTGCCGCTAAGATCAGTTGGCTGACAAGCACAGCTGTATGGTCCTGACGCAGCTCATTTACAGTCTCCTGGCTTGCTCCGTTTTCGCGTTTGTTCTGTAACGATGGTCAGCGTAAAAAAAAATCAAATTTTCTAGGGGTTTCAGAGCCATTGCCAGGCAGAATCCCTCTTTTCAGGAGGAAATATTTGATGTATAATCAATTTTTTCAAACCATGCCATGTTTGAGACATTATGTAGTTGTGCTCTTGCTTCGACAAGTGCTAGCTTCTTTTTTCGAGTAAGTGGAGCGTAAGGATAGCGCGCTGTCGCTCTATGTGTGGAACAATCTAGTCCTGATCATCTTTGGCGTCTTTATCCTCACTGCTCTTCGAGTCCTCGATGCCCTTGCCAAAGGCCGAACCGCCGGCACCGTTGTACACCGAGGAGCTGGCCGCTGCGGTCTGGCTCGTTTCGCCCGGGAAATACGTTGCACCGCTGCCGACTCCAGCCGAACTGCCGAATCTATTGAAGCCACCAGAAGATCCGCTAGTTGAGAATGATGATGTGCCTGAAGATGGCGAGAAGGCTGACGATGCACCAAAACCGCCATTAGAAGCAGATGATACGAAGGAACCGGGCGAAGCGGCTCCAAATGATGTCGAACTTCCAGGCGGTCCGAAGGACGTAGTCGTTGATACCGAACTCAGGCCAGCGAGGCCGGTCGAACCAAAGTCGCCAAACTGTCCCTTGTCCGCTGTCCCGCTACTAGAGCTTCCTACGAGTGCTGTAAATACATAGTGTAGTAACAAATAGTGACGTTTAAATAGTAGAACAGAACAAAACAAATATATTTAAACGCTTCTCGTGCATAAACTTTCTGTTTACTAATTGGCTCCACCACTATTGGGATATTATCTTGCTTTGCATTGCATACGAAGCGTGAGCAGTACCGTCGAGTAGCAGACTAACAAGCAAAGTGAGACATACGGTGACTGTCATTTCATATCGAAGCACGCCCCTTTAGAACAGCTTCGCTACTGTTGCCGCTACCTGAAGTAGTGCCAGATAGAGTGCACGTGGCCCTACTGCCGTTCGTCGTCAATGAGGTGAAGCCAAAAGTAATGCTTGAAGTCCGTTCACTATAGATACTGAAGCTGTAGTGATAGAGGAACTGGCGATAGGCCTTCTATCCCTGTAGCTCGCAGGCCGGCCTGTTTCTCCGTTCGTGCGACCGCTCACTCGTTTCTTATGCGGCAAAATGAATATTGATGGTTGGACCGGGATGAAGCTCTGTTCGTAGTGACATGTAGTGGCAGTGATGGCGTAAGCAACAACCAGCAGCTGGAAGCACAGGGAAGGACCGAAGGACTTCGTGCCGTAACGGGCGGACGGAAAACGATATGCAGCATAATTGGATAGAAGGAATAGCAAGGTGGAAAATGTGTGCATGACAACGACGGCAACTACAGCGATGTCGACGGCGGTGGTCTTGTCGACACACTCAGATTCAAATAGCATTAGTACGGTGCCTACAATACAGCCTTAAGAGTGTCGATCTGCTGGTGTCAGGTAAATTTCGCACGGATCCTAGGTAACCGACCCGTCCCACAATACACCATGTTCTTGTCTGTTCTGCTTCGCATCCCATATTTAGCTTAACAATGTATTTTGTCTCCCATTTGCAATTTATATGAGCGCAAAGAGCGAGGTATGGAGGAATATGCGGAAAGGGCGAACATAAAGGATGTACTATGACATGTACTATATCCAATCGAGCTTGGCCCGAGCCCGGGTCGTCTCGTTATTAGGAAAAAATCGTATTAGATTAGGGTGGGGTGGGAATCCAGTAATATTTACATGACACAGGTCCATTTCTCTTTGTGCTGCTGATTTCGTCGCCGGCAAGAGTGGGTTCCCTTGCTGTTTGCCTAAATGAGTACGATAATGGCTAATGCGTAACAGAAATCGTAGTGTTGTAACGTACGTAACAGCTCAGAGCAACAACTATTATCACGGTCATTATCATAATCGTTTCTTGTAAACATGGCTTAAGAAACAAGCAAAGCGAGATGCAGGCTTAAGAGATAAAAGCAGGCATGTCCGCGGCCAACGTCGAGTAGCTGTAAAAACCACAGCCCACGGCGCCTAATATCGTTCTACCCTCTGCTGCTTTCATTCGCCCTTCACATTGAAATCGAAGGGTTGCCCCCTCGCACAATTCTATCTGATTCTGGGGAAACATTAGACCATTATTACGAGAAAAGGATATGCTGAGATTACAGACATAAAAAGGGAAAAAGAAAGAAAAAAAAATGATAGGAGGAATATCAGAAGATGCAGAGACATTTTGCCAAATCGACATCGACGAAAGACAAATCGATGACGATCGACAATATTGCTAGATATATTATTGTTTGGCTATTGATTTATTAAATAGCCTATGCCCATATCTTCGCTACAGATTAGGCTTTTAATTATTGCAAGGGCACCCGGTTCTGATGCCAGATCAGAAGGACAGTGGCAAAAACGTGAGGGACACTGGTGTGTGATTACTCTTACAGAACCCTTCCGAATATTTATAGGCAGTGTCAACGTATAGTTTCAGGGTAATTATGAGGACATTTTATCGCAAAAACCATAGCAACTACCCTAATATGGCGAAGTGAAAGCTTTCTTACAAAATTGCTACCATTATTATAAAAAATATATGTGTGTCAGCTTGAGGCATTTTCTTTATAGCTAAGGAAGCTGCAGCTACGGTGAAAATTCTCGATATTACGATTAAGAAAAGTTAATACTAAGAATTAACTCACTGCGCTATATGCGGCGAATACCCGCGTCCTGATGGTGTCTTCGTTTCTACTGAGACAAGGTTCCACGTTTAAGCTTATGTTCACTAGTAATAGGACAAACTCAGAAGCTTAAATTCTAGGGAGTGTGTTGCTTTTGTGTACCGGCGCTGCGTGCAGGCCAGAGTAATTCTGCCTTGTCCTTAATTGACCGTTAAAATTGGCTTTCAATAATGGTTGCGCGCCGAACGCCGTTGCACACCCCAGGTGACTACAGACCAGCCCACGTAATGATAAAGCGCCTCATTACTAACTGTAGTTTTCACAGCTGTTGATTACCGCTTGCTGGGTCATAGCCATCAGATAATAGTCTGAGTACGCTGAAAATCCCGTTTAGATATAAGCCATTGAAGGCGATGTGCCTGGCGATGTGTTTAGCAGCTTACCAGACGAAAAGAGGAATCCAGATACATGACGGATGAGCCCACATAAGAAAGCTTACAAATGCTTACGAGGCAGCACTCGAATAATGGAGTACTAGCTTTCTCAGTAGCTACCAGTTTACTTTTTCTTCCATAAATTACTTATTATTAAAAAGACACTTATTTATTTAACGGGAACAGCTGGCTTAGGTGAAAGCCAGCATGGTGCGCAAGCGCATCTGACTTTGATACACAACGCTTTTTTTCCATTAAGTCCTAGCGAAGGCCAAGTTCACTCCAATGTGGCGCGGAGAATTCCAAAAGAAGCAAAGGTTTCAGTTTGACAACTTTTTCATTACATGCTCAGGAACATTGTCGCTAAAAAAGATAAAGCACCTCTGCTCATTCTAGCACTACGACTACAACTAACCCAAAAACCGAGTAACATAATTAAGGAACATGTCTTCTCCGAAGATAGAAACTGTTAAAAACCGAGCGACGCGCTCGATACGCTGGGCTTCTGTTAGATTTAAGTGGGCGTCAAGCAATCGGCATCATAAACACTCACCATCTGTTTTCGAAAGATGCGCTTAACGCTGAAGCGGAGGAATTAAGAGAGGCTAAGCATTCACTAGTGAGAGCAAGGAACGTAAAATTGTCACCTCCGATTGGCCCCTTTACAACCAGTCCGCACTCACTTGAAAATGTTGTTTCTAAGGCCTGACGGTCGTTTCCGGCACGTATTGCGCGTAATCCTGGTAGTCTAATACCACACCATCTACAGTGTCTTATCCCGGCAAATGTACGTCAAGATGAGCTATTAGGTATCTGAGATATATTTAGTGCCAGCGTCTCAGACAGCAAGATATAGGGAGTCACTCCGAACGTACGAGTCCAACAAGGGGACGTTACATGTCCCGTCGCGTTCAACCTACCACTGCATCAATATGCAAAGCAGACGAGGACTGCAGTGCCCCTTCTTCACCTCGATAATGACATGCTACTCGATATCGACCGTCATGTCGTTTTCTCTAAGATCGATTGCCTAAGAACCTTTGAGCGAAGGAGCGGCCTGCAGCTAAACCCATCGAAAACTTCATCCACAGCGTTCTGAACAAATAAAGCGACGGTACGAATTAATTATTTTGGAGAAAATGCATCAGAATAGTCGTCTGATCCAATGCGGACATAGAGCCATCAATAACGTTTAACTGGAGCCTTAGGAGGGCGAGCGCACGTGAGAGCCATCTAGCCTTAGATGGGGCATAGCGTCCGACGTCGACCATATCGAGACCGGAACAAGATTCTAGTGTGGTACGTAACAACTGGAAATAGTTGTACGATGGTTTACAGTAACTGGCCTATGATGACGGGACCATCGCTTACCACACTGGCGTTAAACAGACGAGTCTTGAATGTATATCTGATTATTTGAAGATTGTGTGCTCCTAAGTTGGGTCAGCAGCAGGGTCTAAAGCAGCACTTTAGAAAATGGTTAAGTTACTTCAGAATCAAAGTTGATAGCCTTTTGAGACAAAGTGGACAGCTAAAACCCAACGCGTTTATACAAAAATGGGCTAGATTGAGGTATAAATATAATGCAAAATAAATTCAATGCAAATTACTACTTATAAAACCTAAGCGTATGTATATGCACTGGTATTTTCTTCACTATCATAGCAATATTCTTGAAAAATATATATCATTCCACTTAAGAAATTAATTTTACATATCAACTAATAGGGGTGAGTAGCCATAATGGTACACGATCACTAACAATGGCGTTTATCTTTTAATTGTCATTATCAACATGACTTACTTGAGAAGTCATACTGTCCTTGGCTCGCAGTGGCGGGAAACGCGCCAAACGGGCTCGGGACACCGCTAGCTCCTCCAGCTGTTCCTAAACCGGCAGAACCGAAGTCCGGATAATTGCCGGCTCCCGAAGGTCCATAGCCAAAGCTAGCCCCCGCATTGGGTAGCGGCTGGGCAAAAGCCGGCGGGTGCTTATTGCTACGTCTGCGAATTAAATTGATGGATACCAGATTGACTTCTGACAGTGAGTACGATAATGCATTATATATTTTTTATTAGAGGTGCATGAGATTTATACCTATAAGAATACTCGATTCGTATAATAAAATTAAGTGGAAATAAAAATGCGTTACCGAAAAGCTCAACCTAAAAGAGCAACTAAGTTCAGTCGCTTGATGTGCCAAGTCACTAGAGATAATGAAAACGTGTTATACTTTCCGTAGGCTTCGACTTTCCTCAAAAAAAAATATATATATATATATATATAAAAAAATATGTATTACATATAATTACAAAGACACCGATTTTATTGATTTCACTAGAAAAATATGAATATTCGCTTTACATAAATGATGTTCTTTGTTTATGGCGTGTTACCTGAAGAAGAGTGAATTCATGAAATTGCGAAACCTGGAGGAAATTGTAGGCTTCTGATTTGGTTTTCCCCCTAATCCAGGCCTGCCTGGTCCTCCCGTCTGCAAGTAGTTAGCTAACTGATTGTAGTCTCCGTGGTATGTGATACCGTAAACAGAATTGAGTGCATTATAGGCAGGCTGGTATGACGATGCGGCCGCACCTCCGCTAAAAACACAAGAACCAAAAAGAGATATGGGAAAAAGTACGAAAGGGGGGAAGAGGCGTGAACAGAAAGGGTGGTACAACAGAACTGAGTAGTACGAAAGACCATCAGCTCCGTATCACCATCCACTCTACATACGTAGCTAAAGATTCATCTAAACAGGAAAGAGTGCGGAACTTGTAGGCTGCTACAACACCCCGTGGCGAAAGCATGGGTTGTCCCGCAACCTGGGACAACGGTGATCGAGACAACAACAACAGTAGATACAGACAACAACAAACCTACGAACCCTACAAAGTCAGAGCACACTTTTGGCAGTGACGCTTTACGCCACGGTCTGCGTCACATGCGCTCATCTGAGTGAGCTTCCGTAGTTTCGCTCTCTCATTTCGAACTGAACTCATAGGAAAAACGTGCACAGTCATACAGACAAAAAGACGCGTGCACATAGGAAGGGCAAGCAGGCGGGTAGTCCAGGGAACGCGAGAAACACACATGAGATTACACCGCCCCCTGTTGCAGAAGGCTTTAGAGGCTGCGGCCGCGTTTATCGAGAGAAAGGCGAGTTGCGTGTCTCCTGGAACTTTTCCAAATTTCCGACATGACCCTCCCGCTTACCGCGGTAGTTCTTTTATACTCTCTTGCCTCGCTCAGCTTTTCCTTCTCTCGCCCATAGTGTCATCGTTTTCCGTTGGTTGTATGTAGGCAGCAGCGTCTCTGTGCTCGACAACGCCTTCTGTCAGCGAACTGCTGTTCCGGTAAAAGTATTCTCGCTGCAACAACGCAGTATGCTTCCGTCCTTTACTCACATGAGCGCCGAAGACGCGGTCTGGGCTTTATCTACAGACAGCTCCACAACAATGCACTAGGCGCCTGTTTAATAGGTTATTGTTCTTTGCAGCGCTTTTTATAAACTTAGGTGTAAAAGGCGATTGCAACATACGAAACAGCAGTGATACTGGTATAACAGATATAAAGGTCTGCTGCAGTTTTTGTGGCTCACGTATCGAACGATCCTATAAGGGTTACGTAGGATATTTTCATGATATGACATATGAGGTATCACCACAAGTAGGATATTATTTCCTCCAAAGACTATTACTGACCACTACCGATTAAGCTTGCGTAAACATGATTCATATGTACCGAACAAAATTATCACTTAAAGTCGAGAACTATGTCCAATATAGTTTTCAGCCCGAAAACGCCCAGGTAAGACCTAAAAAAACACGATAAATGAAGCTGTTGTGAGCTTGTGCTTGGTGGACACTAGGCCACCATTGGGATACTTCAGTTTATTCAGGTATGGTGGCTGGAAGCGGCTATTCCAGGGTAAAGATGAGCTGCTTGCCTGCGGGTTTCATGATGAGTAGCAAAGGGAGATGGGCATCTTCATTGGTGGTTCATCGACCACATAGTCGTCGTCAGCCGGTTCTATCTATACCTCCAAACCTTCCCGGTTTTTCCTCTTCTCCAAAAAAGCTTTGCACTACTGTTGCATTGTCCTTAGGCCAACCGACAGTCCCCAATTCCCTGCTTCAGCAGAGTCCAAATTTGCGCTTACTGACAGATCAGCGGCAGCCCTCCTGTGCTCTGGCATTGATTTTGGTCAGGCAAAACCCTGTCGATCGTTTCTCCACCTGAATGGCCTGCTCGGTCAGACAGACCCACAAAAATATTGTAGCGAGCTAAAACTCAGCTGTTGCTTAGAGCCAACAAACAGGCCGGTGCGGAGCGACTCTTTGCTGTGGTTGTCATTTAAAGGAAGCGGTTTGTGGGTTAGAAAAGGAACCTCTACTACAAACGGTCTGTCCCACTTTAGCTTAAAGCTGCAGTCAACCAGCTTTCCCTCACATTAGTAGTTATTTCATTACCAAACACACCGTTAAACCCATACGGTGAATAATCATGGTTTAAGCGACATAGCACAGAGGGATACGTTGTTTCATTATTGCAAGCAACAGAACCGATTCATTTTTTAAACTTTGTTGAAAATGTTTGCCTTAAATAACATGCTGTTAGCAGCCGTATGTGCTACACAGATAGTGGGGGCATTTTTTTGACAATATAGATTATTGTTTCTGGTCAGTTTCCATATGGAACCTGCCGAAGGAAGGCACACCGTCTTTAAATATCTCTGTTGATTTAAATTTTATATATTCATAAAAATTTATAGAAGGTTCTCGTGCAAATAATGCCTCTATTTGTATCAATTTATATAGGCATATATTCATGGCATATTCCGTCACTTACGCGGAATGTATAAATCTCCTGTGGAACTGTATACACACTCAAAGCCTTTCGGAAGGTTTTAATATATTTTTTAATGAGTATCATATATTTATTAAAAACAACTAATATACACATACATATATAAAGGGAAGAAAAATCTGCATAATCTATTTCATTTGTATAAGTGGACGACGTAGGTGAAATGTACGTAGTTGCTTATCAAGTATAAAGAAATGGTGTCGCACATGAAATGAATCTGACTTACCTTGACTGAAAGGGACCTTGAGAATTAACTGAATTGCCAAATCCTAGAGAACCAAGGGTCGACCCTACAGCCTGGCGAAAGGCAGCTTCATCCTCAAAGGACGATCCACTTAAACTCGCACTCAGGTCAGCCGGAACAGTTGGCGTTGACGGTGAACTTTTCAAAGTAGATTCGGCGCCAGCGTAAGCACAAAGCGCCACCGCTAGCGTACACAACAGCGTCACCTAAAGTATCAGCAACAGACAGACAAATACATTCTGTCGTATAGTTGAAAAAAATGTTACAAGTGTAGGAACTTATATTCGCAGAACCTGAGAGTGAGCTCAAAGAGCAAAAAAAGCGCGTAACTTCCTGCGTAATCTCACTTTCGTTATATGCATCAGGTGTTATTGGTATAAGTTTGGATGTACGCAAGCGAAGTTACGTTAAGAACATCGTAGAATGGATTTAAAGTTTATTCCGTAGACAAATCCTATTCCAGTAGAATTGTTTGGGCCCCTAGGCTCAGCAATATAGCATCCACAATCGCCGGACATCAGTCCAATATATTTCTCGTTTTACGATGTTGTGATGAGGATTTACGTTCGGAATGCATGTGGAGAAACCAATAGCAATAAGGAACTATGTGCTATTGTGTGTTTAAGTTTTGCGATCTAAATCACAAGGATGTAGAATTAGTGACCATGGTTTTTCTTTGGAGCATTTAGGCCACCAATTACTCAGTGTTGAGATGCCGGTATTATAAAAAAATAAACGCATTCAATAATAATCGTAGTAATATTAATGATAGTTCAATAATCATATTTACATATATTTATTTATATATAAATAACTAGTAGCATACCTGTTTATGTTACGTTTACCAGAAAAAGGTAAGTCTACTTCTGCCCCCTATATACATATGTATATAATGGTTTGAAGAAGGGGGCAAATTGAGCTGTCCTTGCATTTTTTATACTGAGCCTTTCTTATTTATGTGTAGATGTATGCTACACATTGGCAGCTAAATGGCCTCGCATGGGAAAAAGCTTATCAAAACCATAAGAAACTGTAACAGTAAAAATTTAATATGCGCAACCATAGCAGCCATCGTCTCGGTGGGGGGTAACCTTTTTAGTGTCACCACCTGCGAATTCTCGGAGCTTCAAATAGGACAATTCCATTTGTTAACTTAGCCAGTAAACTTAAAACAAGTTTTATCGTAAGGGCCATTTATCGTATGTGTACCTGAGCACGTGGGAACACGGAAACAGACTCGTTATTAAGACGACGGCCCTTTCTTGTTATTATTAGAGGTTCGCATCGAAAACATTTTCAACTGGACTGTGGAACGCACTAAATACATATATTTATATATGTATAAGGCCAGGCGATGCGACGATCCACATTATCCACATAAGTTTCTGGGTAAGAATATTGTATGTATCGCTCGTTTAAGGCCTCAATACCACCGAGATGCACTTAAATCGAACATGTGCTAAATGAATTGCTCTATAGTACGTAATGCTGTTTGAGATAACTGTGACTAAATGCAGACGTATTCCCAATCCTGTAAATTTATTAAATAGCCTACCGCTGTGAACTTAATGCCTACTATACCTTAACAATGTTCCTTTGGCACCTTTAACAACTAACACACGAAAGTGTTTTTGTTCTACTTTGTTTCTGGAACACATTTACCCATACACAGCTTTATGATTAATATGGATTAAATATATATAACGGCTATAATCACTAATTAGGCTCATACTTCTAAGAAACATTTTTGCTTCTAGACGGTTTCGACAATGAAACTTTTAGGGCTAGTGGGGAAGCCATCAAGCATGATGATAGCTTTTAGCGGACGGTGGCTTGCCATCGTAACGCTGAAGTAAGCTAGCATCCATTACGCTTATCCATCGCTTTACATTTGAAGAAACTGGATGCAAATCAAGTACCGGTACTGAAAATTAGCCAACCCCAAAGCTCGCTGTTAAATCGGTAAATAGGTAGCGAGTTCTTGAAAAGAAAGTACACTGTGTAAAGAAGCTAAGAGATCGAAAAGAGATTGATATAAAAACTGTGCTTAGTAAATATCTCGAGAACTATGACATTTTTTATCAAATATTATGTTTGGTTATCCATTTGGGTTATTGAAAGGCATTACTCCATAATTATGTTGCTGGTGGCAGCAGCATCATGTGATCGTAATCTTATTTCTAATTCAGTTCCCGAAGCAAATAGTGTACGATGAATATATATATATATATATATATATATATATATATATATATATACAGCCCGAGTCCAAATGCTCGACCAATATTAGTCACATAAGACATTCAGGATGGCTAAAAACATTTGCACTAACGGTCGATTCGTCTTAAATCCGTAACCTAGTTTCCATAAACAAACCATTATTGGTCGTATTTGCTGGTGAACGCAATGCGAATGCAGAAGAACAAATATACACTTTATCTTTGCACACGTCGATCAATTAAGTTCCCTGATTCTAACATGTGCCTATCTCGGAAACTAGTTGGGAATTTAAGGAGGTCGCTGCTGTTTCGAAGAACATCTAAAGAAGTTTAATTAAAGTTCAGAAAAATATGTCAGCAGACAACAAGAACCACAGCTGCCCATAGATGTAACATAAAATAAATACCTATGTACATGTTACATTTATCATAAAAACGCGTATATTTGCTTGAGATTAGATGTTCTTCTCACCCGAAACCGTTCTGGCTTTATCTTATTTATAGTTTACTTCATCTTACTTAGAGTTTTAACAAAGTCTCACCCTAGAGGCATACACTAACATCCACCTAACTGCATTGTTTGCATCAGTTTTTCAATCGTGAGTGCTGTGAATTGTCAGCACCCCATGTGCATACACGCTTTTCTTTTTTTACCGGGTGTGCAATCTTCAATTCTTCTGGTCATGGCCTTAGAGCTAGTCGTTCTCAGAAGCATTAGCAACGAATGTGTGCAATATAGGTAGGTATACACACAGAAGTCTCGGGTCCGAAACTGAATTGAACGGTTCGACCCATCAGCAATGAATCAAAGCGGAGCAAACAGAATAACTGCTCAGTCCCTCGATGCAAGAACGATACCGCTGTTGGCGTTCTTTTCCTTCAATGCCTTCCATATCCCAGGCAAATATCCGACCAGCCTTTACGCGATCCACCATTTGCAAGCAAGCCACACGCTGCTTCCCTCGACTGTCGTTTGACCACACATGGTACAATCGCGCACACGAACGCATAGCACATGTTCACCCAGTTCGATGGGTCGTCCATGGCCGTCGACCACTAACCCTTCAAGGATACGGTCGGTTGGTCGTTCCCATGACCTGCTTCAGTTTGTTTCGGCTTCCTCTGCGTCGGCTCCATCGAAGCATGCCAAAGGGACCGTAGCAATGTATTGGTTTACGGTGGGTCGGTCTCGTATTTCGGGGATGCTTGCATCGTATTCGATTGCGGCAAGGCGGAGCCCCAGTCGGCCAACCAGCTAGCGAGCATAACCAAAAGAGAAACTAGGCCAGCTCACGACAAGGTCGGAGTTAGGGTTGAAGTCGAAGTTCGCGAGCGTCAGCCAGTCGGCATGTAGGTCTGCTATTTACAGGCCTGCACCAAACCGAAGATGCATTGGTAGCGTGTCGAACCAGAGCTACGATAGGGGGTTGTTGTCTAAGAATCGGATGTCTGGGTTTTGTTTGGTGCTGTAGAACACGCGGATCGAGTGCACTTGTTTGCGCAAATGTGGCTGCCCCCCTAGACGCAATATGTATTTGATTGGGTTCTGCAGCGAGCGGCATGTGTGGTTCTGTCTCCGACTGGTATAACGATCGTTTCCTTAGTAAACGACCTCATTAGCCACTGCTTGTACAGAGGCCTCCTTAAGATTCTTTATTCCAGTTTTGACCAGACCTAACACTTAATAGATAATGGGGGACAAGGCTACGTCTTCCGCTCGAACACGCTAACGTTGAGCACGCCAATCAAAGCTCTCGTTTTTGGCGTTCGCCATTTCTTCGGAAAAACGCCACCATTTCCTATTAGTTAATACCGATTTGCTTGCTGTTTCTGTTCTTAGACAACACAAGCAATACTTGACTGAGAAATACACACTCTGAACACACGCGAAGTGCCGTTTATTTTCTGCAACCATGACTTTTTTTGATCGCAATGTCTTGTTGTGACGGAATTTAGTTCGAACTTTTACATCTTTGCTTGCTGAATTCCTAAACCACTGAACATAGTTTGTTTACTTTCACATCTGTCTGGAATTCCTCAGCACCACAACTGTAGTCGTACATAAAACAGAACATTAGCCCCTTTTCGTAACGTTGTTATTTTGAAAGAAGCCCTATACACACACTATTGTAACTCAAATCAATTAAAATAATCTGTATATACAGCCGAACGTTTCCTTCCTTCAAGTTACTAAAGTATGAAGAACAACCAGACTCCATTGATATGATTTGTTTTATTATAAATTGTGTCATATCGTAGGCTTAATAAATGGTTGCTTCGCTTGTTTTTCCGTTAGTTTCCCTTCATTGTTTCTCGAGTGAAGATATCTCACACTTGATATTCATGCATTTATCAATTTTACCTGTTTAACTTCTAGGTCTAGCTGCTGTCACGCACCTTCAAGACCTTCATGTGCACAAAAGAAGACATGACCGTTCCGCCAAATCGCAATTCGAGTTTAAATCTGTCACCAGCCAGTCCCCGATTTTGCCGACTTTTTCTAAGTGTTCGCCTTTGGCCTGTTTTTTATCCGGCTCGCCGTAGCCGACAAATGAATCATTTTAGTTATTGCAGTAGTGTGTGGAACGGCCTGGTTATGTAATTCATCATTCGGAACTAGAGAATAGGGCGCTTAAGAGATAGGCGCGTCGGCGCACGAATCAATTATGGCCTGTGTTTAATCCTTGGACGTATGGACTTATCTGGCTATACTTGGCGCCTGCATTTACGTTTTCATTGCTGGCCGATAAACCCAAGATCAGAATAAAGATCTATGGCCGCATATGTGTATGGGTTGTCCGAGTTAAGTACGTGTGTATGACTCCAGTCCTCTATAGCAACGCACAACGGAATGCTGTGAACGTTCGAAATCCATGTTAGAATAAGAGGCAGCGCAAGAGTCATACTCCACGGCCTCGTCGTAGGAAATTCGTGGCCGACTGATGGAATTTTTAAAAATGAATGGACATCAGAATGAACGGATGAGA